AGGCCCCTTGTCAGTCCATAATCAACCGCAGTGGGAGAGGCTTGCGTCTGAACTTGGTTTTAGCTCAGACAGGATTGCGCATTTTAAGAGGCTTTGTCCTGGTCAACCTGACAAACAAAGCTGGGAGATGCTGTCTGAGTGGAGAGGACAGGGATCATCCCCCAGGGCCAAAACTACAAACCTGTGTCATGCATTGTCAGCCATTGGAAGAAAGGATCTAGCCTATGAATTACAAGGTACCGGTACATGTAGTGTGGTCGTACGTCGTAAATTAGAATTAAAGGTTCGAAATTTTACTACATTAACACATCACTTCACATTATGCAGCCTTTGAATAAAAGATCAAAGTCATACGACTTTCTTGTCCAGAAACCAAAAATTGGAGCCTGGAGAGAAGTTATTCCTTTTCCGTCTTTCGTTATTTTTTCTACGAAAAGTAGCCTTGCGTAGTAACTATGTAAAAGGTAATTATCCCTCTGAAGCAATATTGAGTTTGGCCATCCGGAACGGGTCCGGAAGAAGTATTTCTTGAGCAATGAAAACGTTAGAAACATCTGTGTCTAGAAACCGGTTTAGTCACTAAAAACGAGTAGCGTGCAACAGTTGTCAGCAGAGTGAATTTCAGACTGCCCTTTCAACTATTTGGACTGTGACTCCCACAATTTAATACTTCAGTTCAATTATACAGGACGCTGAGGAGTAAGGGTTAATCTCTCCAAAACTCTGTGTAACAGAAAAAGAGGATTCTCTCTTGATAAACGATACATAGGATTCCGACATACATGCAGGAAGGGAAATGGTTCATGAGACCAATCCTAAAATACACCGGCAGCACACAATGCCATTCACTAAATTGGCAACAAATCGCTTCAGTCTGTTCAGAATGTTACTGGAAACTCCACTGGTGAAAACGATACAGAAATAATGTTTTTCAGTACATGTATAAATCGTGTAAAAACAAAATTTGGAAAAAAACAAGATTATGGCAATGGGTACCTCATTAAACGTATTAATTCAAAAAATACTGCATTTGTGTGAAAATATTACCTTCCTGGCACTTTCCATGGATTTTCAGGAAGATTTCTTTAGCACGTATATATATGAAAGTTATTCATGCCTGGTTATCAAAGCGGATAAGAATTTAAACGTTTTGCACATATTTATTCCGGAATGAGGACTTTTAATTGTGTCTATTTAAGTGTAAGCATGTCGCATGTACACCTGTCATCCTGACGGTGTGGCTCTTTTCCAAATAATCATCTGTTACTGTCATTTTTATTTTAGGGTTTCTTGGTTGTCTTCGTACTTCTGTCATTTAAACTGCTTGATAGAAAGTTTAATTTCATCAAAGAGGGGTCACTCGCCCCAAATGTTGATTCCAATTTTGAAATAACACCCTTAGATTTCGCATTCAGAGCATTTAAAAAAAAACCATTCTTAACCGTTTCATATATCGTCATTTCGTCTTACTCCGGGAATGGTTCCGAATGGGAAAGCAGATTCCTTTTTGTCATTCATTTTACCAATTTTAATTTCGTCACTATTGCTGCATGAATTCATCAATACGAAGATTTGAATTAGCGGCTATTTGGACGTCATTATCGGTTATTAAAAATTAACAACAAAGAATTGGCCGAATAAATTAGGCATTAACATTTTGCAATAATTTCATAACGCATTGTTATTTGACTTTCTCTTGTTAATTAGATTAAGGGCCAGTGCTTTGTTTACAAATTATATAAGATTGTAAAGTAATACAAAATGTTATCAGTAATGCAAAACAT